TAAGGGGCTGCCATTCATACCACCAACTTCATGGGTTTGTATATTTGTTATAATTTTCTGGGGGGTATCCAGTGACCTTATTCTAGCAAAACGTACATTAAAACAACTTTCTGATAAGTGGAACTCAAAGATGTGAAGAGTACCTTTTATAACTTACACAAAGACGTTATATGGAAATACCACCTAGGAACTTGGAAATAAGGACAGGACTCCTGCCCTCTCTTACGACAAAGCTCTAGTTTTCTCTTGGTGAAGTAGGTTCCAGTTGGCCTCATCTTCAGAACCATGAGAGATGTTTGTTAAGTATGCACACTTCTAGGGCCCAAACCAGCAGGTCTGAGGTCGGTCCAGATATCTGTTTGTTTAACAAGCATTCCAGGTGACTCTCATGTCCAGGTGAGTTTAGGAAATTCTGTTCTAATAGGGCTTCATATAAGGGTACTGAAATCAGGTTAACTTGAGCTCAGGCAGTCCCTTAACTTTACGGATGGGAAGGGGTGTGGGAAAGTGGAGGCAACTCCCAAGTTCAAAAAGGCTTAAGGTCAAGGGTTCATATGCCCATACTAGCCAGATGCAAAAAAAAAAAAAAAGGCTTATGTGTGTGGTAGGGAGATGAAAAGAAAAGCCTAGGAAGCCAGACCCTGCCTTCTGCTTTTTCTGGACTGGGCCAGGAGAAACTGCCTGCAGGGCTGAGCTGGGTGGAAAGGTAGTGAGTGAGCAACAAACTTGGCCTTTGGAGGGGGCAGGAAGGGGTTCATCATGCAGGGCCACAGGTCAAAGAACAAAGCCGTCACAGTGCTGCCTGTCCTTAGGTTGGGGCCTTGGATTTCGCCACCAGGCCAACACTCCAGTAAGGAGATAGGTCTTTGCCTCATCCTACTTTAAGTAATGAATCAATGAAGTTCTGGGGACAGAGATAAGACGGGCACTGAAGTGCTGGTGGTTGGTGACATGGGGCAATCGGAGACTGACCACCAAATCCTAGATAGTCCAGGTGGCTGCAAATCCCCAGCCCTGGGTCCCAGCCCCCCACCTCATGCCCAGCCATCTCCTATGCTCAGAACAAAGCCCAGGAGAGGACCCAATTCTAGACTGAAATCTCACTACTGGCCCCTTTAACGGGGAACATCAGTCCTGGAGAAGTGGACGTGGGGGCTAAGGCAAAAAAGTATCATCCCCCAAGGGCCCGTTTGAAGCCTCAACAGGCAGGAGAGGAAAAGCTTCCACTGTGCTCCCCTCTCTGGCCTTGGCTGCACTAACCTGGGGAGGGGAAGACAGGCTGAGCCCAGGCTAGGAGCAGGCTCCGCACTCCCAGGAGCGTGGACCNTATAGTAACTACAAATGTGAGACATCCTGACTGTTTTGTTTTGATTCAGAACAGGTAGAAATTCACTTTTTAGAGTATGGATGCCAAATTCCAAACTCCAGTCTAAGCTGCACACTTATAATATGTGCATTTTTCTGAATGTGTATCATACTTAAATAAAATGTTTAAATCCCTGTCTTTATGGAGATTACAGCCCCACTGAGTTGCCGTAAAAATTAATCATGTAAGACATTTAGGTGTGCTTGCCATATAGTAAGCACTCAAAAAATAGTGGCTACTACTATTATTCCAGTGAAATAGAGTAAACTGGACCATCAGGGGATGTTCAAGGACAGTTTCTGCTGGCTGTGCCCCTTGGATTTGTACACAGAGTCCTTCCGTAAATCAGTTAGGCATGGACCATACATCTGTCATGAAAAATGGACTTTCTTTTAAGATCAAAACAGAGGGGGATTTTATTCGTACTTGGGAACTACAGTGATGCAGGCTGCTGTGCACACTTGGACAGCATGAGGCTCCACACTTAAGGGGCTGCCATTCATACCACCAACTTCATGGGTTTGTATATTTGTTATAATTTTCTGGCAGGTATCCAGTTATCTCATCCTAGCAAAACGTACATTAAAACAACTTTCTGATAAATGGAAGTCAAATGTGAAGAGTCTCTTTTTCTGACACAAAGATGTATGGAAATACCACCTAAGAACTTGGAAATAAGGACAGGACTCCTGCCTTCTAGGAGCTGCTTTTAAAATGAACACAGACCCTGATGTAGCCACCTCTGAGTCAACCCCTGAGATTTCAGTATCAGGGCCTGTGTTTCTTTTGATCACTGAACTTAATAAAGTGACCTTGTGGTTTGTCCACCAGCCCTTGCGGTTCTGGTTGATAGAAGTTTCCAGCAGAGAGACGGATCCAAACTGAGGTCGACAAGTCATGTTTCTGAAAGTTCTTGGCTATTTACATCCTGTTCTTGGGTTTCCATTTCATGTAATTATCTATATTTGAATTTAATGCCAATCGCAGACACTGCCCCTCTTGAGAGCTAAAAAACCTCTTAAAAATCTCAAACCTGCTTCACTTTTCAGAGTATTTATTGTGCAGATCTTGACAAGACCCTGACCCAATGTGACTTCACTGAAATCCTGCTCTCTTAGGACACCCTAGTTTTCTCTTGGTGAAGTGGATTCCAGTTGGCCTCATCTTCAGAACCATGAGAGATGTTTGTTAAGTATGCACACTTCTAGGGCCCAAAACAGCAGGTCTGAGGTAGGCCCAGACATCTGTATGTTTAACAAGCATTCCAGGTGACTCTCATATCCAGGTGAGTTTAGGAAATTGTTCTAATAGGGCTTCCTATAAACGGACTGAAATCAGGTTAACTTGCGCTCAGGCAGTCCCTTAACTTTACGGATGGGAAGGGGTGTGGGAAAGCAGAGGCAACCCTCAAGTTCAAAAAGGCTTGAAGGTCAAGGGTTCAGGTACCTGGACTAGCCAGCCACAAAACAAAAAACCAAAAAGGCTTATGTGTGTGGGGGGGAGATGAAAAGAAAAACCTAGGAAGCCAGACCCTGCTTTCTGCCTTTTCTGGACTGGGCCAGGAGAAACTGCCTGCAGGGGTGAGCTGGTTGAGAGCTAGTGAGTGAGCAACAAACCTGGCCTTTGGGGGGCAGGGAGGAGCTGTCATGCAGGGCCACAGGTCAAAGAGCAAAGCTGTCACAGTGCTGCCTGTCCTCAGGTCTGGGCCTTGTATTACACCACTGGGCCAACAACAACCCAGTAAGGGGACAAGTCTTTGCCTCATCCTACTTTAAAAATCAATGGAGTTCTGGTGACAGAGGTAAGATGGGCACTGAAGTGCTGGTGGTTGGTGACATTGGGCAATCGGAGACTGTCCTCCAAATCCTAGATAGTCCAGGTGGCTGCAAATCCCCAGCCCTGGGTCCCAGCCCCCCACCCCACGCCCAGCCATCTGCTATGCTCAGAACAAAGCCCAGGAGAGGACCCAATTCTAGACTAAAATCTCACTACTGGCCCCTTTAACAGGGGGAACATCAGTCCTGGAGAAGTGGACGTGGGGGCTAAGGCAAAAAAGTATCATCCCCCAAGGGCCCGTTTGAAGCCTCAACAGGCAGGAGAGGAAAAGCTTCCACTGTGCTCCCCTCTCTGGCCTTGGCTGCACTAACCTGGGGAGGGGAAGACAGGCTGAGCCCAGGCTAGGAGCAGGCTCCGCACTCCCAGGAGCGTGGACCTAAGTCTGCCCTAGACCCATGGAGCCTTCAGCGGTGTGTCTCTTCCTGCCCACTGGGCCTAGCCCAGAATGGTGTGAGGTGGAGTCTCACTGGGGATCTCCCAGGGCACCTGGTGAGGGCACGACTCTGACAGGATCCTCCACATTCTCTCCTTCCGAGAAGGAACAGCTGCTTCCTATTCTCCTTTTAAGAGGCTTGTGCTGGTGGTTAAGGCCAAAAAACCAAACCAGTTCAATACGAGTTACACTGCCAGGAGTTGGGGGAAGGGCCTGGCAGCTGTGAAGAGAGGAAATACGACGGACTTGGAATCTGAAAACCAGAGTCCACGTCCCGGCTGCACCACTCCTTAACAGCAGGACCCTGGGCACGCCACGTGACTTGAGCCTAGTTTCTCTTCTACAAAATGGAGCTAACAGCACCCACTGCACAAGTGCCTTGGAAGGGTGAAAGTTAAAGCACTGTGAATAGGTGTCATTGTCATCACTATTGCTACCAACTGCCCTCAGGATAGACTGGGAGGTGCCTGAACCTCCCACCCCTTCTCCTTAGAGGCCAGCCTTCCTGTTCCTCCCCTGGCCCCGGGGAAAATGGTGTTACGTGTTGTTGAGGGACTGGGGTGTCCTCCCTCCGGGATCCAGATACAACAGCCAGGAAGAGCACAGTGACCAAGTGTGGTCATCAGGGAACAAGGTTCAAGACCAACAGGCAGCGCCAGATGGAGGTGGGCAGGAGGGAGGGACAGGAGCTGGTAGGGTAACCAGTGAACACTTTACACAAGTGGGAAGGTCCTGGGGAAGGAGAGGCAGGAGAGAGGGAGGAATGAGGGCAGCCAGGTGCCCAGGACACAGGTGAGCAGCTGGGCCCCGGAGCAGGGTGGGCAGGGCCTGGGAACTCACGGAGAGCAAGGGCAGCTGAGAGACGGGATCGGCCTTGCCCCATGCCCACACCTAGCCTCACCCCAAAACAACCCTGGGCCCTCCTTGCACGTGGTCTTCCCAAGAGCTGGCAGGTTCAGCCTCAACAGTGGGAAGATGGGAGCAGCCTCCCCATCCTCAGTCCCCAAGGCTGGAAGGTGACAGGCAGGAAAGAGCAACAGCGACTCCGGGCACCTTCCTGACGTTTGAAGAGGACTCAGAAATCAGAACCAAAAGGCCGAAAGGCTTTTACTCTGTGAGCCCTGGAGGAGGGCCAGGCAGAGTGAAGGTGTCCACAGGAGCGGTGGGCAGAGGGGGAGCTGTGGGGTGCTGCAGTCTTGCTTCCCTGTGGGGGCAGGAGTGAGGGGAGCAGTGAAGGCCAGGCATGCCCTCCTCATGGGCTCCAGTCCTGGTGCCCAGCTCTGACACCTGCCCCTCCTGAGTTCACGCTGGAGTCCTCGCAATCCTGAAACGGCATGGCCTGCCCCAAGCCTGTGTCAGGAGAGAAATGCTTGGCAGAGGGAAAAGGCTGGTGCAGGCTGCCCATGGCTGCTCTGAATTCTTCCTGGAGCTTGTGCCTTTCCTTGGTGGGAAGAGGGCACAGGTGAGGCAGCGAGGCCCTGAAGCTGGGAAAGCCATCTGTGCCCGCCAGAGCCAGGCCCTAGACGCTTCAGCTTTGAGAACAGGAGTCTCCGTACAGGGGACACTGGGTTAGGCTCAAAGCTCATCAGGGGGGCTATGTGTAAGCGGGGATGCCTTCTGGATGCCCTCGTCCTCCTCGGGGCCGGGGTCTCCCTCAAGGCCATGCAGCTCCTTCCTCTGCTTGCTGCTGCTGCTACTCTGGCCACCTGATGCCTTGGCCTTGCTGCTCTTCTTCTTGGACTTCTTCCCTCCCAGGGTGGCTGTGTCCCCCTTCTTGCCAGACCACCGCTCTGTCAGGCAACCTGGGGTGAGGAGGAGAGACACCCTCAACAGAGGTGCCTCAAACCAGTTTGCTGGGTGAGGAGCACTGACTGGGGAGCCCCTGGGAGTAGCGACTAGAATTGGTGGCTACATCAGCATCACTACCTCCCACCTCACTATGGCCCCAGGCCCCTCTGGGGGCATCTGCATGTTGTTCTGCACCTGCTCTAGTTGCCTCTTACATGCCCTCTGCTTCTTTTCTGTCCTCTCCTACCCCCACCCCCTGAGGCAGAGCAAACAATAAAATCATCAAGAGCCAACCCGCCCTTCCTTCTCCCTCCCGTCAGACTCACTGGTGTCCTTTCCCTTCAGCACATGGTTGGCACAGAGGAATTGGGTCAGGTCCTCCTCCTGGTGGTTTCTGTACCAGTCCTCGATCACCTCCTCGAACTCTTCCACCAGCACGTCGCACTGTTAATCATACCAGCTCATATTGGCAGAGCCCCAGCTCCTGGCTTGCTCCTAGAGGAGCTCAGCCAAGCCTCATGACCCACCACAAGATAGGCAGGTGGCTGTGATTCACCTATGGAAACTGAAGCCAGAAAGGCAAGATGACTTGACCAAAGTCGCCCAGCTCTTGGTGGCCCTTCTTAGAGCAGACCCAATCCCTCCAGCCCCTAACTGGGGCACAGCAGCCTCTGATGGCTGAAGGGGCCTGTACCTGCTTTTTTTTTTTGGTGGCTGGCCAGTACGGGGATCTGAAGTCATGACCTTGGGGTTATAAGGCTGCGCTCTAACCAACTGAACTACCCAGCCAGTCCCCTGTACCTGCTTCTTGAGGTCAGCCACCTCTGCAGAGGTCTCGTTCCACAGCTCATAGGGGATGTCCATCACCACCTTGACTCCTTTGTGTACCAGGTTGTGTAGCGTCTCAAAGGTCTCTGACATGCCCTGTAAGAGGTGACAGACATGGGAGGCAGAGCCACCTTTTCTATGTCTGGCCCTCCTCTCCCAGTGGTATCTGAGGACCTACTCTGAGAAGTCAAGACCTTTTAAGGCTTCTCACCCTTGACCTTACCTTCCTGTCCTCTCTTTTAGGCCTCCTTCCCACAACCCCTGCACACACACACACCCTGACCTGCCTCCCCACACCTCACCCTTTCAAAAAGATCTGTTGTTGCCCTCAGGCCCTCTAAACTTATACTCCTATTCCAGGAAATACTCTGGTTTTGGCTCTTTTCCCTCACTGTGGATGGGCACACTCGGCCCCCTATATCCAGACCTACTTCCTGCTGCAGGTTCTTCCTGACTTGTGTCCTCCCTTGGTGACAAGAAGGCATAGCTGAGGCAGGAAGGACTCTTTATTCTGTAAAAACCATCTCTGCCATCTATCTAAGTCTTACCCCAGAGAAAACATACTATCCATTTCCTCTATCTTCCCAGAGATAATTCATACAAATACAAACATACAAATATTTCATCTCCCCCATCCCCGCTTTTTACACAAGCAGTAGTGTATCATATACACTATCTTCCACCTTGCCGTTTTTACTTTAATAATATACCTTGGAGATCAGTTTAATTTAGTTCATAAAGAGCTATCTCATTCTTTGTTTTACAGTTATATAACAGTCCACCAAGAGCTGGCTGGTTCGCTCAGTTGGTTAGAGAGTGGTGCTGGTAACACCAAGGTCTAGGGTTTGGATACCCGTACCAGCCAGCCACCAAACAAACAAACAAAAAAATAGTCCGTTGAATGGCCATATCAATGATTTAACAACTCCCCTACTGGTGGATAGTGAGACTGTTTCTAATTTTTTTGCTAAACACTTTTTATTAAAGCAAACATGGATTTACTACCGAGTACAGAGCAAAATTCATGCAAATTTTAAAGATAAAACCTAAGACTTATGCTACTTGAGATGATACCCTTAGGTGTCCCAGGTGTTTATGACTGATCTCCTTTGCTAGATGGGAACTTAGGTTGAAAAACGTGGGCAGCAAGTGTCTTACTATGTGCCAGACACTGGAGATGTCAACACATAGAAATATGAGCCTTGTTGTAAGCAGCTCATTTTCCAGGGAGAGAACATTCGTGCACACGGTGAGTGCACTCAGTGTCCCACAGGCACCCTAGTAGGGTTCTAGGGAGGTGCTGTGTGGGCTCAGAGGAGGAAATGGGCAATCACTTTTCTGGTGATTGTCTTCTGGCATCTCTCCTAAACCCCAAAATTCTGCACATCCAGGACCTTGCTGAGTTTTCTCTGCTCGAGTGTCTCAGGTCCCCATGGGGGCTGCCACCGTGGAGCATTTCTGCCTGTGTCTGGGACGGAGGCAGGACCCTGAAGAGCAGGACCAGGCCATTATGAATGTGCCTACTGCTACTGAAAAGTCAGGCCACTCAGGAGGAGTAGAGTGCAAATGGCAATCAAAGAATGGAAAGAGGCAAGGAAGGAAGCTCCCAGGGTATGACCTTCAAATCACACTCACAGCAGCAGGCACACTTAGATACATGCAGGTCTGGCCCCAGAGGGGAATGAAGGACAAGCACAAATCCAACCTTGGCAAACCGGTTACTCCCGGTCCTCTCCTTGTGCAGACTATAGTCCAGGAGCCTCTTGCAAATGGTCTCAGTGACTTCAATTAACCGTAAGTCCCTGCCGAGACAGCAGCACGAGAGGAACTGAGTTCCCTTCCTAGGCCCAGTGGGTTAGTGGTCCGTCCCTCCAGCCCTGCTGCCCCAACACCTGCACATCTCACCAACGGGAAGTCAGAGCTGGAAGGAAGATAGGTCATCTGGTCTGGGGGCTCTGAAATGCTGGAACACAGACCAGAGAGACAACATTTTAACAGCTCTAAGGGAAGGAATTTTTTATGAAGCTAAATGATTCAGTTTTAGATTTTTTTTATATAGCAAATGTATTAAATTTTGATGGTAAAATATCATTTCATTTTGAAAGGATGATAGTAGTAGACAGAATTTTGGGGGGGGGGGGTTGTGGCCAAGTAATATTTATACTTAGCAATCCTATGTTACCAATATTTTAAAAAATTGCATTGGTCCAAAAAATCCAAGAGTCTGGGAATCACTGATACAACCCAACAGTCTTGCTTTCACAGCTGAGGAATCTGAATCCCAGAGAAGTTAAGGGATTTATGAAGTCACACAATTAATTGGGGGCAGAACCGGTTGGCAAACTTGGGTCTTAGGGCTGACTCCCTTGTGGTGGGTTTGCCTAGCTAGAGGAGAGAAGGGAAATTCAAGTCCCCAAAGCCTCCAGGAACAAAGCAGTCCAGGCCAGTGAGTCCCCATTCACTTACGACTTTGTGTATTTGACTCCAGAGGCCTTCCGGTCCAGGATGCCATAGCCTGTGTCAATCACCTCCTTGGTCTTGCCAGTTTCCTCAAAGGCTGACTTCAGCTCCACAGCAACATATTTGCACACTGGGAGAGGGAGACACAGCACAGCCAGTGACTGTATGTGAGTCTCTGATGGGAGGACAGATCCCAGAAAAATATGCGCATGTGGGTGTCCTTTCTTAGATTGGGTCAATACTCAAGGCATGGAAGGAGCTAGTACCAGACCACCAAATGGAGTTGACTATGTGAAACTGTGGTGCCAAGATCCATTGCCCCATGTCCACACTTCGCCTTTATCCTACTGACTTTATTGCCTGCCCATCACCCTGCTCTCACCTCCATCACTATATTTAAAAATTTTTTATACATACAGAAAAGCTGAAAGAGTACAATGAATAACTATATACCTTCCACTTATATGCAACAATTGCTAAAAATCTGCCCCAATCTTTCTCCAATATGTAAAATATAATAAATCTCAACAATATATACATTGTTTTTGCTAAACCATCTTGAAAGTTAGTTGCAAATATGACCTTCAACCCTAAATATGTCACCATCTAGCTCTCTTTTTTTTTTTTTTTAAAGATGACCGGGGCCGGCCCGGGGGCGCACGGGAGGGGGC